CAGTTAAGTTCAATTCAACGGGAGAAATAGCAGGACTTGTAATCATATAGACTTCACCATCACAATTATCAGAAACAAAAGACAACACATTCACCTCATTTCTATCTCTACCCTTTTGCTTATTTTTTTCTTTATAGCAATCCTTTATAAAATGCCTCGTGTTCCCATAGCCATATCATTTCTTTTCCTTAGCCCTAGATTTGGATCTAGGTCTACCCTTACTTTTCCTTCTATGTCCATTACTACTAGACTCGCCATTACTTTGGTAACCATCATGACTGTTTTCCTAAACTAAGTTCTACCCCTCATCATGTGAATCTCCGTACTCTTCCTATCATGTTTTTCAGCCCTCATCTCCATCTCTTTACTTCTAAGGGAGTCAACGACAATTTCAGACATCAAGGTGTCCCTACCATACGTAATAGCATTTTTCACTTCATGATAAGTAACATGTATATCATTCAACAAGATAATAGCCTTGTAAGTTTCAGACACCGACTCTCCACAGTTAACAATATCTTGAACAAGTTTGTTAAATACATCTAAATTGTCATCCAGATCTTTTGAAAAATCCATTTTGAAACTGAAAAAACGCTCAAGTAGGTAAAGTTTGTTTGAAGTAGATTTAAGCAAATACAGATCTTCCAATTTTTTTCAAAGTTCTTCAGTGATTTTCAGTTTACCCACTTTTCTCAAAACTGCGTCTCCAAGTGTAAAATGATAGAGGTATAAGCAAGCTCATCAGCCTCTTCTTTTTGGTCTTTTGAAAAATCAGCTGGAAAATTGCCATCAATGGCTTTTGAAACCTTTTGTTGAACCAAAATACCTCTCATTTTTTGTTGCGAAATAGAAAAATCACATTTTCCATTAAAAGTCCTAAATCAAAATTGCGCGTTGTCATTTTCAAAACGAGAAATACAAAGTCATAATTAAACCACACAAAGCAGACATAGGTTCGCAAATATACACCGTTTTAAATTCCCAGGGTTTCGTAAGATTTACGATCTTAGATCAAGGGAATTTTCAAGCTGGTAAGGTCTAGGTATTCGAGCAACTTATCAATGCAACTAGAGAGATAACAACAAAACAGTTTCACTTACAGTATATCACAAACGATAAAATACTGGAATGAATCAAAAGAACAAATTTCAATCACGTAGCAAATGAAGAGCAATTAATTCTTAATTTCTAGCACAAGCAATGGTTACCCCACACGGTAATCCCAATTCTATTGTCACCCTACACGATGATGCGTTAGTTGTGAAATTAAAAGAGGATCAGCCAATTTAACATAGCGGACTTTTCTGAGTTCGTAATTTTCGAGAGTTGCGACTTTACTGCTTTAGGGCTCAATTTATGGCCTAAAGTAATTCAGTAAATGTGTTGTGCAGTTACAGCCTCGAATATGTATCAATCACTAAAGGGCAGAATCGTCCAATATTTTATGTAAGACCTGAAACACTAAAGTAACAATATTAGCACGTTCAGGCGGACAAAATAAAAAAACTGCTCGAAAAAAGTTGGCCAGAAACAACCTCCACGCGCCGTCGCCTGAAGCCCACGCCTAGCCGCCGGAGGACACGCGCATGGCCACCAAGTGCGCCTTGGTCTGCACGGAGTGGGTATGTCCTCAGTTTTTTCGGTCGGTAGCTGGTTTGGCCGGAATTGAAGAAAACAGGTTCGGTTTTCTCGAAAGGAATCGCGAGCCCTTCCTCTTCTCCGTCGATTTCGCCTGGGTTTACACCAAACCAAGCTCTAATACAATATGTGAAGCAAAACCGTCTATTTTGTACCAAGATACCGGGCTCAGTATTTCTAATCGACACCACAAAGAGAAAACCCAAACCAAATCACTCCATACCCTCAACCGGTTGCTCTCAGTTTCTGCCAACACACGAGAACTGAGAATGGAGGTTATAATAGTACCTAAAACAGCCATTAAAACTATAGGAAAGTGAGAAGCAATAGCACAATGAAAGCACTAAGCAATAAGCAGAGAGCACGAAGCAAATCGCCAAAGACTGCCGCTAGTTTCTTCTCAAATAAAAGCCTCAATTATAATTCTCACATAAGGCACAGTAATGGGCACAGCAGATAAAGGGTAGAATTAGGTATGGGCTAGGTCACAAAGATTATGGCCCAATAGGGAACAAGTTAGTGGGCTATCAAACTTAAAGAGTCATCCATTTCTTGGGTTGGGCCATGAGTAGCCATAATTAAATTAGGCTGCTTCAAATGGCCCAAGTGACTATGTGGTTGGTTTACCAAAATGTGGTGTCGATATTCGTTCAATCATTTGGTCGATACCGAATGAAATAAACAATACTTATATCATCGCCCGATGAGGTCGTTTGACAACAATTTTTGTCTAACATTTTCCTTATTTTTCAACCATACATTCTCCATCAATCTACTATTTCAAAATACATTCTTCAAAAATAATATAGATCAAATACACTATTTTTACAAATTTGCATGACAAATAATTTTCAAATCAACATATAAAAATACATTATCAATATCATTTAACAAAATTTTGTGTTGATTAATATAGTGCTCTCTCTCTCTCTCTCTCTCTCTCAAATCTTAACATCTATTCTCTCTCTCTCTCTCTCTCTCTCTCTCTCTCTCTCTCTCTCTCTCTCTCTCTCTCTCTCTCTCAAATCTTAACATCTATTCTATATTAACTTTAGAAAATTAAAGTAATATTAACATAATACTGAAATCGCAATAAATTTGGCATAAAATGTTTGAAGCTTAGATTTATTTTAGTTCGTTTTTGTAGTAAATACTTCAAATAAATTTTAATTTGTTCAATTTTTTTTAATTGGGATTCAATTTTTGCAAAAAAAAAATGATTAAGATAAGATCATTTGTACAAAAAGAGAAAAAAAAAATACTTTCTTTTAAACTAAAACAATTTCTTTTCTTCTAAACTAAATTATAAAAAGGCAAATAGTAGAACAATTATATTTTTAAATTTAGCATAGCCCGCCCCGCCTTAGAAGGCGGGGTAGGCGCGGCCTGCCCCGTTTGTATGTTTGTTTTTTTTTTTT